AAAAAATAGACTGTCCAGCTTTGTAAAGAATTGCTAGAAAGAGCTATACAAACCCTGAGGGCTGTAAGCTTGTTTTTTGAACATGTGGAAGGCAGAAATTGAATCTCTTCTGTAACACACAACTGAAGAGATGCTGGTGTTGGTGGCCCTGAGCTCTAATGGTTGACCTGTGTTTCCTGAACAGCCTCGGGACGTACGCGTCTCTGCGTGGGAACATCTACTGCAAACCTCACTTCAATCAGCTCTTCAAGTCCAAAGGCAATTATGATGAGGGCTTTGGACACAAGCAGCATAAGGAATTGTGGGCAGGTAAAACTGAATGTGAAGAATTCCCGGAGAAAACTGTCCATGGTGTGAATTCACCAGACACTCCACAAAGCCCAGGAGTAGAGGATGCCCCGATTGCAAAAGTGGGAGTTCTGGCAGCAAGTATGGAAGCAAAAGCTTCAGCTGTGCCTGAAAGGGAAGAAAGACCAGCAGAAACAAAAAAGCTCAGGATTGCCTGGCCACCTCCATCTGACCAAAGTATCCAAGGAAGTGCCTTAGATGAGGGCATCAAAGTACTCAAACCCAAGTGGCCTCCAGAAGAAGAGATTTCCAAGCCTGATGTGCAGGAGGATGTGGATCTGGATCTCAAAAAGTTAAGAAGATCTTCCTCGCTGAAGGAGCGAAGTCGCCCCTTTACAGTTGCAGCCTCATTTAGAACAATATCTGTTAAAGGTCATAAACCAGAGAATTCACCATCTCCTTCTAAGGAAGAGAGAGATACATTGAAAAGGAGTGAGGAACTGGAGAGAGAGGTTGTCATAGAGAAAAAGCAAAAGGAAAAGAAGGTGGAGCATAGGAACATCCAGAACGCTGGGGAGAAAAATGTGGAGGAAGAAGGGGAATTGTCTGGTATCAAAACAGCAGAGCAGAACATTGTAGAGAATGGCCAGATGAATGCAGACACAGATGAGGAAGAGCATGCTACAGAGGAGCCAGAAATTCCAAAGGAAGAACTTCTTGAACCAAATTCTCCTAAACATTCCAGCTTAGCCAATGTTGTGACCGCTAAGGAATCATCTCCAAACCAGAATCGCAAATCCCAAGACGTTGGTTTTTGGGAGGGTGAAGACATGGAAGATCTATCTGTGGAAGAACAGATCAAAAGGAATCGCTACTATGAAGATGATGATGATGAATAAATTGGCCTTTTACTAGAAAACTTGCTGCAAGGTGCTGGGCCTTTTGAAATGGATATTTTTAGCTTTAACAAACAGCTCTCCTGGATGAAGCGATGCTGCACTGCACATCAGCATTAAGGGAATCTACCTACAAATTATCTCATCTAGAGAACTCTGGAAGCCTGCAAATTCTTTAGGTGCATGGAACAAGTGTCTGGCTGTGGGACGGCTTCAGCAGGTAGTGTCTGTCCCCAGCATGAGAACAGAGCTGTTCTCTGTCTTATCCCTTTGAGCTTCAATAGGTATTTCACTAACCATTTTTGGAATTCCACTGTACTTGCCATGCTGGTGTGGGACAGGGCTCTGGAACACACCACCCGTACCACTCCAAATGCTACTGCAGTGCTTAGGGACCAACTTCAAAGGGACTTTCTGGCCTGCTTTAAAATGGTCACTTAATGCACTTTAATACATGGAAAGGGCACAACTGGGCTTTTTTTTTAATAATAATAAAAGCATTTCTGTGTGTAGTGTCCAACAGCTAAAGCATCCTAAACTGAGTGCAATGTGAATTTCTGTCTCAAACCTGCCTGTGATCAGCTGAGGAGTCCCTGCACAACTGGAATGGTGCCCGTTGTTGGATCATGTGTATTTCAGTGCTATCCCAGGAGCTGTGCTGGCTGCCAGGTCTCTGCAAAAGACAAGTGAACACTTTGGAGCAGCCTGCAGGGCATTACTTCTGCATTTCACACGCATTTGAAGTGGAGTTTTTTGTTTGTTTTGTTGTCATTTCTTTTTTTTTTTACTTGGAGTTCTTTGTCATCATTTTAAACTGCAGATAAGATTTTTAAGGCCTTTTGACAACTCTGAAATCCTACTTTTATCATGCTGCCATAAATATTTTCCTTAGAGCTGTGAAATTGTGCTGCATTGCAAAAATCTCTGGAATCAGTGACACTTTCCAATTGCCAGTGTTGAAGATCAGAACATTTTTAAACTTGACTTCATTTATTTTACAAATAATAAAATCTGGAATGGGGGGAGGAGGAGGCCCCTTTTTTTTATTATTAGCTTTTATTTGTACTGTATTCTCAAGAAAATTAGATCTTAACGATTCTTGAGGTGTAAAATATTCTGCTTTCTTAACAGTTCTGCTAATGACAAAACCTTCAATAAAGTTTGGGTCATTTCCATTATAACTGAAGTCTGGATTCATCTTGTTTCATAAAAAGGCAGTATTTAAAGGGTCATAGAATTGTCATGGAATCACGGAATGGTTTGGGTCAGAGCGGACCTTAAACCTCATCACATTCCACCCCCTGCCATGGCAGGGACACCTCCCACTATCCTAGGTGCTCCAAGTCCCAGCCAGCCTTGCCTTGGGCACTTCCAGGGATGAGACATCCTCTGGGAAATCCATTCCAATGACCTACCACCCTTAGAGGGAGGAATTCCTTCCCAAAATCCCCTCTAACCCTGCCCTCTGGCAGTTGAAAGCCACTGCCCCTTGTCCTGGCACTCCAGGTCTCTCTCCATCTTTCCCGCAGCTCCTTCAGGGACTGGAAGGCCACAATGAGGTCACCCCAAATCATCTCTTTTCCAGGCTGAACAATCCCAGTTCTCCCAGCCTTTCCTCACAGCAGAGTTGCTCCATCCCTCTGATCCTCCTGGTGCCTGCCCTGGACTCTCTCCTGTAGCTCCACGTCCTCCCTGTGCTGAGCCCCAGGGCTGGGGGCAGCTCTGCAGGTGGGGTCTCACCTGAGCAGGGCAGAGGGGCAGCCCCCCTTCCCCTGCTGGGGGCTCAGCCCAGGCTCAGGGGGCTCCTGGGGCATGTCCAGCACCTCAAACCCTTTTCCCCAGGGCTGCTCTCCATCTATAAAAACAGAGGGAAGAGATGGGCGAGTTCCCGGTGCTCCCACTGGAAGGCAGCCCGGGCTGGCTCTGGTGCCCCACTAGGTGACACTGTGTGTCCGTGGTTTGCTGCTCGACTCAAATGAGCAGCTTCTGCTCCCAGATTGAAGAGAGATTAGAACAGGACTGGCGAAAGGAATAAGGACAGGCAGGGAATTTTCGCTTCCATTTCTGGCTCCAGGTGGCTCTCAAGGGCAGCTGAGGACAAGTGAGGGTTTTTCTCCCTTCCTATCAGCTGCTTTTAATTTAAGCTATTGTCACTTGAGCCTGTGAGGGGTTTGGTTGGGAGAGAGTGGGATAAGAGCCAGAAGCAATGCAGTGAATATTCTGCAGCAGTACAAGGAAATGTTCATGTGTATGACATGAATATTGAGAAGGGAAAAGCCTCCTTCCTAGCTGGAAGGTGTTAGCAGTTTCACAACCTACTGCTCATTTTCCTTTCTTTTAAATGGAGAAGTAAGGCTTGCTTTGGACAGAGGAAAAACTAAAAAACCTGATGGGCAAACCCAAGCTGCTTTCTGTCACCTTTTTCTGCTCCTAACAAAATCCATTTAGTATCAGATTTCCTCAAATTGCTAAGCAACCAGAGATCTCTCTGACTGGAAATTGTGCTGTTTGAAAAGGGAGGGAAGATCATTTGTCGTGGACTTGGATTTATGGAATATGCCAACTGCTCGTTTCTAAGGAAACGCAATTGAATTTTACTGTGTCTTCCCGGTTACGTGATACTGAAGCAATACTGGCTGCACTTACCAGAGACTTTAATCAGAAAATCATTAATTCTAGTTAAATCTGAGGCATCTGTGAGTCTCTGACATACATCCAACTGAACATCTTCAAGGAGAAATTAGCACATCGGGTACTTCTAAATAAAGTCATTGATTAAAAAAAAAAAAAGGCGAATAGATCATAAATTACTCTATCCTCGAATCTATTAGTTATCATAGCATTTGAGTGCTTAATGGGCCATTTAATCTATTCTCCACTGGACAGGTGCCAAAAGAGACATTACACTAACCATGGATCGTTCGCTGCCCTGTCTTGCTGCCTTGAGGACTTTTACCAGTTAAAAGTCGTCTCTGCTTGTGGAAACCGCGAGGGCTCAGCGGTGTGTGAAGCATCGACATCACGGCCGTGACACGGTGGAATTGTTGGGGAGTCCGGTGCAGGGCCAGGAGTCGGACTTTGATGATCCTCGTGGGTCCTTTCCAACTCACTATATTCGGTGGCCCTGTGGTTCTGTCACCTTTTGGCTCTGTGACTCAGTGGATCTGTGACTTTTTTTTCAGTCACTCCGGTTCTGTTCCCTCAGGGGGCGCTGAGGGGGGTGGCGGGGCCGCGCGCGCGCGCTCCTCCCTCACGACCCCGCGCGCGCCGCGCGGGCGGGAACGCGGGGGCGCCGCACCGCGCATGCTCCAAAGTAACGGGCCGCGCGAGGGCCCGGCGGAACGGCCGTGAGGGAATTGTTGGGGACCGTGAGCGGCGGCCGCAGTGAGGGGCGGGCTCAGGTGTGGCGGTGAGCGCCGGGACCTCATTTTGGCTTCGGTTGGTGGCTGTGGCGACCGCCAGAACAGCGGCCGCCGGGAGGGGCGGGGCAAGGCGATATAAAGGGCGCGGCTTCGCCCCAGCTCCGCACCGCCTGTGGCGGGCGATGCAATAAGGGGAACGATGATGAAAAAGAGGGGCGCGGTGTATTCCAAGCCCGCCCCTTACGGGCTGCTGCCGGGCGGTGAGAGGCGCGGCTTCCTCCAGCCCCGCCCGGCCGTGTCGGTGGCGCCCACCCGTGTGGCGGCGGCAGCACGGCCGGGCCGGGGCGCTGAGGCGATGAGGGGCTGAGGCGATGAGGGGCGCGGTCTCTCCAAGCACCGCCCCCTCGGGACCGGGGCTGCCGCCCGATTCGCTGCCGCCGTGATGGGCAGGGCGGGGCTGGCGCTGGGCCGCGCCCCCGTGTCTGTGGCGGCCGCCCGAGCGCGGCGGCGGCAGGCGGAAGATGGCGGCGGCCGCGGCGGCGGCGCTGCGGGCCTGGTTCTGGAACGAGCGGTTCTGGCTCCCGCACAACGTGACGTGGGCCGACCTGGCCGGCGAGCCGGGCAGCGGGCTGCAGTACCCGCGGGCCGCTCACGTCCTCTCCGCCTTCCCGCTGGCGCTCGGCATCTTCGCCGTGCGGCTTCTCTTCGAGAGGTGAGCGCGGGGCCGCCCCCGGGGCGGCGGGGCCGGGAGGCGCTGGGGTCTGTGAGCGCCGGGCCGGGCCTGGGGGCGGCTCGGCGGGGCCTCCCCCGCACCCTGCGGGGCCTCCGCGCGTGGAAAGGGACATTGTGTAATCCCGCGAATCTGTCGCGGGAGTCGTGTCTATCGCGACATGCACAAGCCCGTGGGGCTCTACTGCCGTGGATCTGCATAACGAGAGGCCCCTCCAGTCCGGCGGTGCTGAGGTAGTGCCAATAAAAATCCCGTGTTTCATATAGGAATTCACTTTTACTCGTGCTCCTGCCCGGGAGAACCTCGCTGGGTGACGGACAGAGCTGGCGGCTGCTGCTGCTGCTCCGCGCTTGGCTTCCGTGTGTGCTTTATTGTACTTTCCCTGAGTTCCTGGATGAGGAAACAGGGCTGCTTCACATGGCCTGATGCATTATTAAATACTTGGTGGCTCTCCCTCGTCTCAGGCGCGATGGATGTGAGTGCGGATCTTCGTCTCTGCCCATAAACAGGTGTAATACGGGATTCCTCATTTACCTGGGCATCCATAAACATGCGAACTCAGCCCTGGGGCACAGGCAGATCCGTGTGTGGTGTGGATCTGCCACAGCCACACGCAGTGTGTGGGTGGCAGAGATATTAATTAGTAAAGCGGCTTACTTAGGAAAGCCTTAGGTGAAACGGACCAAGACACCCTCTGTTGCTGTGCAGGTAGTTCATTAAACATTGATTTAATCTTAAATTTCTGCCTTGAAAGGGCAAAAGTTGGCCAGGTTGGATGGACTTGGAGCAACCTGGATAAGTGGGAAGTGTCTCGGCCTATGGCAGGGGATGGCGCTGGGTGAGCTTTAAGGTCCTTTCCAACCCAAACCATTCCATGATTCCCCAGGTGTTTCTAAGCATGAAAAAGGCTGCAGGATTAAAGTGAGTGGGAATTGAGTAGTTTTTTTCCTGTGGATTTTCTTTAAGAAATGTGAATTTTTCTGAGCTTTCAGAAATTAAGAAGAGGTGGTTGGGATGAAGTAGAAAGATGGCAAATATGGAGGAAAATGAAGCAGGTCAGCAGAGAGGTGAGAAACTTGAGAGGCTCTATTTTCTCCATGCTGTCTTTCTGCCCTTAAGAAAAGGCTTCAGAGAACCCAGGAACACACGTGGCACTGCCAAAATCCCATCTCAGCTTGGTGTGTGCTGGTCCTGGCCAAACCTTGGTACTTGCCAGGACATGATGAAATGAGGTTGTGAGACAAAATAACAACGATATTGTAGGGAGGTTCCTAATCCAGGTGTCAGTCTGGGGATGAGGTGCAGAATATTCTCTTTTCCTGGAGTTGTTGGGGAAGATGCACTACACCTGATGGCACACTGCTCCAGGCAGCGTTTCCTTTGTCCTGATAATGTCTCCCTGGTTTATGAAATTTCTTTTGTGGTGTGAATTTAGGCTGGAGTCAAATGATGATTTAACTCCTGAGCCTGCAGAGCAAAGCTCAGAGGCCAAGGTCTGCTTCCTGAGGGGGTTGTTCCTGATCTCAGCTGTGTCTCGGTGGTGTCCCAAAGTGAAAGCAGATTGTGACAGCCCATCTCAGGCAGTTTCTGGTGTGTTTATTTTAAAAGTACATATCTTTGAATAAACTCCTTTCTGTTTCTTCCAGCCACTTTGAACATGTCATAAAAGTTCAGCTTTGTCTCAGTAAACTCCTGTGGTGCATTTATCCCAATTCAGGCTTTGATTGTGTCAAATGTCTCTCTTGACACACATTTCACAGTTGGACTTGGTGACTCAGAATGTGAATTACAGACTCTTTTGGTTGAGCTGCTTCTTTTCTCTCTCGTTTTGCAGCTCCTCACTGTGAGGAAGTGCTTTGTGCTACAACACTGACACGTTTCTGTTAGTTAGAATTCCACTAAAAACTACCTTTTACATCATGGCATTGACAAAATAATCATTAGTTTGTCTGTCTGTGGGCAGTTTATGACTGTAGGGGTGAGGCAGGACTCATAGAGGAAGGTAAAGACAGTGTAAAGTGAGAGAGTGAGGATTTTTGACCAGTCAGCAAAGACTTCTGCCCATAAATTTGGTTTATATTTTTTATCCTTGATTGTAATTTTCAATATTTCTCCTTGCACATCTTGTCCCACTGCAGGCAAAAAAAAAAAAATAAAATAAAATGCCAGGTATCTGCAAAAACTTGGATGTGATGTGCTTCTAGCTGCACTGGAGTGCTTTTTGGAACCAGATGTGGTTGTTACTGGACAGATCTGAGGAAGGATCTTGTGCTCCAGCTGGGGAGGGAGAGAAAAAGGTGATTTGAGATGTTACTTAATCAGGTCTCTTATGGAATGAGGTGGTTAAATCTTAACACAGCAAAATTGAGAGGTTATGGAAATACAAACTCAAAAAGTGCATATTCAATACATCTCACTTTGGAGATTGTTCTTCCTTTAAGAGCTGTGGTAGGTAGTCACCAGCCAAACTCGAATGTTCATAAAGCAAAATTCTGCCCTTTTGTGAAGCACAACATGCCTGAGAACTATTTGTTCTAACATATGAGTCTGTGGACTTGCAAATTGGTTTTAAAATCAGTGTGTGTTAACAACTAGTGTGAAAGGGAAGGCTGGGGTGTGAGCTGATCCCTTTTGATAAAGGTTTAATAGAAGTGTTTATGTGATGAGAATTTCTTGCTGGAAGGTGTGGCAGTAAGTTGACCTTGGGTATAGTTTGTGGCCGTTGAGATTTCTAGAAAATCATAAAATCATTTAGATTAAAAGGGACCTTTCAAGGCCACCTCATCCAGTCCTCTCCCCAAAGCAAGGCCAGTGTTCAGGCAACTCAGGTCACCCGTGGTCTTCTGCTGTTCAGTTTGAATATCCCCAAGAATGGAAACTCTGCTGTCTAGGCAGTATTTTTGTCTATTTTGGGGGTTGTGCAGAACTTTGTCACTGTGGGATTCAGTGCAAAGCACATCTGAAAACCTGCTCTGGGACCAAAAATTTGAAGTGCCACAGCAGTTTGAAGTGTGAGTTTACCCTGCTGAGTTTATCTAAATAGCAGCTCAGCTTGGGATTTTCCTGTCTGAGCAAGGGATTCACCACTCACTTCATGTTCCACCTGCAAGTTCACGTGTGAACTTCTCTGCTGCACTTGTGGTATATCCTGTAGGAGAGCAGAGTATAAAGACATGTAATACTTGATATTTTTTACATTTTTGTGGGGGTCTTGCCAAATGTTTCATAAGATCAGGACAGGATTTCTGGCTGGTGGTCTGGATTATGGCGGAAGCTGTGAGCCTTTGGAGCCAAGCTCAAAGGAAATCACTCCTTCCTTTTTTATTTTTTAATTTATTTTTTTTTTTAAGCTGTGGGCGTTGAGATGTAGTTTAGCATGTCCAGAGACAGGAGGCAGAGCTGGGAAGGGTCTGGAACACGAGGAGAGGCTGAGGGAGCTGGAAAGGGGCTCAGCCTGGAGAAAAGGAGGCTCAGGGGGGACCTTGTGGCTCTGCACAACTCCTGACAGGAGGGTCAGGTTGGGCTACAAGGAGGAATTTCTTCATGGAAAAGGTGGCCAGGCCTTGGAAGGGGCTGCTTAGGGAGGTTTGGAGTCCCCATCCCTGGGGTTGTCCAAGGACGTGGCACTCGGTGCTCTGGGCTGGTGACAAGGAGGGGATCAGGCACAGCTTGGGCTCAATGATCCTGGGAGGATTTTTAACCTCACAGATCCTGGATGGAGACATAGGAAGAGCTGGAGCAGGCAGGGAAGCCTGGGCCCACAGTGTCTGTCGTTTGTTTAGTGTTTTCTGAGAGCTGAGTGTTCCTTTGGGATCAGTCACAAGCTGATCTGTAATTCCTCAAGGGAAAACTCCACGACCTGGGACTGTTCTTAAATGCAGCCACAGATATTTGTTCCTGAAGCACTAAGTGAGTATTCCTGAGAATAATTACTGTTGGAGCACTTAGAGCCACAATTCTCCTGAATTTTTAATCTTTCCTTTTAAACACAAGGGGAAATTGTAACAATTGTGGTTGGAAAAAGCAGCATTTTCTGCTTGGTGGCACTGGGAGGCTCCTAAATATGTGTAATTTCAGCTTAGCTCTCTCTGAAACAATCTCTCTGTGAAAGCAAAATAGTTTTAAGGGTTCAAATCTTGTGTCCTTTTCAAAATCGGTTTGAGAAACAGGTTCTTCCTCAAAATAACTGATTAAAAGATACTAAATTTTGCTCCTTTAACCCCCTCTTTTGCCTACCAACAGGAGAGGAACAATTAATGTGTCAGGTAAGGCAGACATTTCCCTTGGAACCCTGAGCCCATTCTGACACAAATGTGCAGCAAAACCTGGTAATTTTGAACATGTTTATATTTGTTTTCGTTTCAAACCCAGGCTTGTTTCCAGAGCCTGTGCTATAAAATCCAGGAAGAGTTAAATCAGTTTGGAATACACAGAGCACTTGGGACGGATGAGATCCTGAGATCAGTGATCTTTCAGACTGGGGGACCTGCATCTTCCTGTCTGTCCTGAAGCAAACAAGCCACTTTATTTTTCCTCTAAGAAAAAGTTACTTTTGGGAGCTGTGTCACTTGAACTTCCCTTTTTTCTGAGCTATGTGACACCAAGGCCTATTTTGGAAACAAGATGCTTTGTTTTAGGGCTTCATCTCCAGCATTTCTGTTCACAGCAGACTGCTATCAGTCTATTGTTTTATTGCTGAGGAATGAGAATCTCCCTGGGGAGCACATTCAGATCTTTACAAGCCAAGGGCATTGAGATCTAATTTTTCATTCTGGTGTGCATAGTATGTGCTGTCTGCAGTTGCCATATGGACTAATAAAAGAGATTTCTTCACCTGGGAATTGGTGAAATGGAGACTTCAAAAGCTTTTTCACCAGGTTTTGCAGCTGGTGACAAATGCAGGTCCTTGTGATTCAGGCACAGGAAGGAAATAAATATCTTGTTTTAATCCAGCTCTTTCTGGGCAATTCTTGCAGGTTTATTGCCAAGCCATGTGCCATAAACCTTGGCATTCAGGACAGTGGACCTCACAGAGCCCAGCCCAATGCAATTTTAGAGAAAGTGTTTACATCCATCACTAAGGTGAGTCACACTTCAAATTCCTCCTTCATTCCAAAGGGAATGGAGGCCTGGAAGTGTCTCAGGGGGGGCTTTTGCTTCCACTTTTCTGCATTGAAATGCACATTTCACACTCTGCATCCACGTGTGAGCTTGTTCTGGTTTTACTCTGCCTCTGGCAAGTTCTTCTGGTAGCAAAGTCAATTCCCTGTATGGCTGAGGCATGGTTTTGTGCACGGAAGAATCTTTTTTGGGATACAGATGTTCCCCTGATCAACAGGCCTCAGCTGCTTCCTTTGGTCCAAGTTACACAGTGGGGATTCTTGGTTTAATCAGAGATTTCCCAGCATCTTCCACTTTTATTGGGAAAGGGTTCCTCTTTTTCTTGAGCTCAGTTCCTTTTCTGATTTTATTGTTTTTATTGTGAATGTCTTCCCATAATTTTTGCCATTTACTGTAAACCTGGACAGCAGTTGTCAGTGGAAGGGGATTATTCAGGGAGGTTCAAGCAGTGAAGGTTGTCCTGGTGAAGGGCAGGACATTTAGTGGTGGCAGGAGGTGTTTCTTTGGGTTGTTTCCTTCTTTGCCTTAAACTCACAGGCCTACAGAATGACAGAATCCCACTGTATTTTATCCAACATTGAATAAGTGCAATAGATTTTCATTAAAGATAACAAAATGGAGGTTTTTCTGTTGAGATTTGGTGATGCTGAACCTCATCTACTGGACCAGATAAAGGGAAATTCTATAAAAACCTCAAAAAACTTGCCTTGTGGGAACATTAAAGTTTTGAGGCATTTGGAATGATGTGTGAACTGAAAAATCCCCAGAATCTGATGCCCTTTGTTGGGAGAACTTTAATGCAGGAGATGTCCTTGAAATAAATGTTTAGAAAACCCAGGAGGTGCAGAATTTGTCTGGCTGATGAAACCTTTAGCTGTCCCAGTGTGCTGTGGGGTTTGGAGAGCCAGGCTGGGGGTTCCCTGGTGTAGGGGAAGGATTTCACTGCTGCTCTGAGCTGGAGCTCTGGATTCCTCTAGAGGCAGGTGCTTTCCCAACCATTGAATCCCAGGAAAGTGCTGAGAGATGTGGTGTGATGGGTTGACAGGACAGTCATGGTCTCAACGCTGAAAATCAAATTATTCTGATTTTGATTTTCAGCTGGGCAAACTGATGGTTTTTTATTAAATCAACATTCTGCATAGCTTTTGTGGTTGATGTGTAACTCAAAGAGTAAAATGTGTTTATCATCTTTCAGTGGTAGAGCTCTCTGGCAGAGTTGGTCTGAATTATCTCACTCCTGGGCCATTATAGAGGGAGCTACCAGGTTTGGTTCACTTTGATAAATCCATTTGTGTTCATTCAGACAGGTGGAGAACAGGCATCTATTATATCCATATTTGTCATGGAAGTACTTCAGTCTTCAAATATATTTTCATTTATAAACTTTGATAACAGAAATAACACAATTTCTACAGTGCCCTTATGGAATATACAAATATCTACTGTGTTAAACCAACTCTTACTTTAAAGTTTCCCTGTCCTTACTGTGAATAGCAAACCTTAAACATCTTAAGCTTTGCTCCAGAGTTCTGGGTGCAGCTTTAACAGTAGGACAGAACACTTTAACAGCTCCTCCCCCAAATCAACCCACAGAACAGTCACATTCTTTGTCTTAATGTGCTGTCAACTGATGAAATAGGTAAGGAAATGCTCAACCAAAACCATTCTGAGTAATTAAGTAATTAGTGGCTTATGAAGATTAAATCTGAATGAGCATTTGTGGCAATGGACTCTTACTTCCAGACTCTGTGGTCCCTTCCTGGTGTTTATTTTTTTGTTATCTGTGAATTATTTCTGTCATAGTGCAGGACTGAAAGTAGCTTGGAGAGTGGGAGAAATGACATTTGTTTCATTTTCCTTCAGTCTCCAGATGGAAAAAGGTTAGAAGGCTTGTCCAAGCAGCTGGACTGGGATGTCCGAAAGATCCAGCGCTGGTTTCGGCATCGGAGGAACCAGGACAAACCCACCACCCTCACTAAATTTTGTGAGAGCATGTATGTTTGTGCAGAGGGGCTTCATCTTAGAGCTCTAGCTGGGCCTGGGGGGCAGCTGCTCTGCCAGAGAGGGGCCAAAATTCCTGTACAAGCAAATAGGGCAGTTAAAGGAGGCTCTAGAATGCTGAAATGTTTTGTGGGCATGTCTGAGAGAGCAGAACGGGGCACAGCAGTCAGTGCTGGGCAGCTTTAGACACTGGGCCAGGTCCTTGGTGACACTTGAGAGTGTCTGTGTGTCCATGTGTCTGTGTGTGTATGTCTGTGTCCATGTCTGATGTGTCCATGTGTGTCCATTTCCATGCCTCTGTCCCTGTGTCTGTGGCGCTGTCCACATGTCCCTGTCTCTCTTTGTCTGTCCGTGTGTCCCTGTCCGTGTCTCCCTGTCTGTGTCTCCCTGTCCCTGTGTTGCTGTCCTGTCCGTGTGTCCCTGTCTGTGTCTCCCTGTCCCTGTGTCGCTGTGTGTCCCTGTCCTGTCTGTGTGTCCCTGTCCTGTCCGTGTGTCCCTGTCCCTGTCCGCGTGTCCCTGTCCGTGTGTCCCTGTGCCCACAGTGGCTGTGAATCCCCTGGGACTCTCCTGCACGGCCCCGTTCCTGCCCAGAGCTCATTCCCATTCCCACCTTCTGGCTTCCTTTCCTTCTCTCTTCAGCCCATTCTTTGTCCCCATTCCCTCCGAGCTCCTGTAGTTTTCTCTGTAGTGCAATAGAACCTCAGTATTTTTTCCTGACTTGTTTCTCCTCTGCTGGTTTCTTTCCTTTCCAGTAACTTTCAATTCTTCCCCCAGTATGGTTTTGTCTACCTAAAGCCACAAGGTAAGAGGGGAAAATAACAAACACTAGGATATCTCTGGGTGACAACAGCTTTGCTTGTTGTTATCTTGTGTCTCTTAAATATGGAATGATGCATGTTCACCGTGAGTTTCAAACCTGGCTGTTGATGCAAGCCCATGTGTGGTGTGAAAACTCTTCAGCAGGTTTATGTTACCTGAAATCTTTAGAAATCAAGGTGGGTGAAGGCTTTTCAGGTGTGAGATTTTGTCAGATTTTTCCCAATTATTTAAATTAATTTTACAAATGCTAACCAAAAGCTAATTCTATGTCCTAAGTTTATTTTTTACTTCTTTTTCCAGGTGGAGATTTACATTTTATTTCGGTATATTTTTTTATGGAATCAGGTTTCTCTGGACGGTAAGTTGCTCTGTCACCCACGTTGTTGTTCTGTGTGGTTGCAGTTGAATGATCCCTGATTTGGGATCCTAGGGGTTCTGTTAAAGACCTTCTTTACACTATAGGGAAGCTCCTATGCAGATCTGTCATTTTGGAAATAATAGAAAATTATTCGATGTGTTACCCCAGAATGTTGGAAAAAACAAGGTGGGTTTTGGGTTTTCTTTGCTATGGAGAGCTGCTCCTTTTTTTTCTCTTTTCCTCTTGAAGGGATACAGGTTCATCTCCTTGGCTCTTTATAATTATTAGAGCTGTATGATTATTCTAGAAATTTCCATTGCAGCAGAACTCACATTGGCAGCACAAATTAGACTTTAAATCACTAGGGTTTTTTACAGTAAATGTAGTTTGAATGGCAGAATAAAGGTAAAATTTCAGTGAGGCAGTGCTGTAGTGTCAGGGGACTTTAGGTGATGGGGAGGAAAACACCCAGTACAAACTGGGGGTTTATATAAATTCTTATTTATATATAATAAAAACCTACATATTCCCTTTAGGCACCCTGGTTTTGGGACACACGACAGTGCTGGTACAACTACCCTTTCCAGGTATGAAAGAAACACCTCCTAAATTCCAACTTCTTGGACAATTCCAGTTTTTATTTTTGTTATTGACACTGGATTAAAGCTCTGCCATTTACTCTTTGTGCCTTTACATCCTGGTTAGGTTTGGCAGCACCAAGATTTCCTCAGATACATCTGACTCAGTCACTTTATGTGTATTTGCTGCTGAGATTATTAAAAGTTGGAGAAAAAGGCATAAAATCATAGTGGTAATTTATTTATTTACTGTGTAGAGGCCAACAGTCTGTTCCAGAGCCTGGTTTTCCTACTCCAATAGGCTCCAGCAGGAGTTGTAAATATTGATAAGGGAATTTACTCCTTTGGAAGAAAGCTCAAACACACAATTACATTTGTGTGAGTAAGCCTGGAGTAAAATGCCTGTTTTTATTAAACCTGAATGATTTAACTTATATCTCAGCAATTCTGGAGGAACAAAGTGGGATGGAAAAGGTGCAAGGAAAAAGGTGATTTTAATGTAAAATTTGAATTATTTTGTCTTATAAGTGTGCTTTCTCTCTGTGTTTTCCAGCCTCTAACATCCAGGCTTTATTATTACTATATCTTGGAGCTGGCCTTCTACTGGTCCCTCATGTTTTCTCAGTTTACAGACATTAAACGGAAGGTGAGATGACCCAGAATTGCATTAACCACTCAATAGCTATAATAAAAACAAGAATAAGAGGTAGGACTAACAAAAAATGGGAGTGTGCCTGTCCAGGAAAGCCAAAATGTAGTGATAATTATATTTTCTTCCTCATTTACACCTTTTTGAGCCCTGAGAAAAAGGGAGGAGTGAGGCTGACCTGGTGTATCCTTGAATTCCTTTCACCTTCCAGGGGACAGAGTAGCTTCACTCAATACCTCCCCATCAAAAATTAACAAATCATTGCCTAAAAATAGATTTAACTGAAAGGCTTGCAAGAAAATGAGCTGCTCAAAGCAGTACCTTGCTGAAGCTGCTGAGGAAATAGCAAACACTAAGGAAATAATAAATGGAGTTTTGAAAGGAATGTCTCATCTGTGTGAGGAGCAGATGATGAGTGGTTGCAGTTGCTCAAATCTAATTCTGTCATGCTGCGTTCCAGGATTTTGTTTTGCAGGTTATTGTTGCTGTTGGAGAACAGTCCCCAGTAAATCCTGGCTTATTGCTTCCTTTACATGAGCTGCAAAGCAGCAAATTATCCCAATTTTTGCACTGTTAAAAAACAACACGTTTCTTCTGTGCTGAAATTTGAGCAGGTGGGGCACTGTGGAATACAGTGCAGCTGCAGACAGGGAGTGATGAACAACCTCTGGGACTCTGTTTGTAATATTTCATTTTGACTTTAACAGGTGGATGACATTCCCCGTGGCAGCAGGGTGAGGTACAGGGAGCCAGGGGCTGAAGTGCAAACCAGCCCTGAATATTGTGCATTGTAAACATTTTTTGTTCTTCATGCTGAGTTCCCCTGGTGTTCTGTGCCTGCTCTGCCCTGGCAGGGTTTGGTCACTGACAGCAGTAGCAGCACTTAAAGTGTCCCAGGAGCTGAGGGGACTTCAGTGTGTCTGAAAAACCAGGAGGATATAAAATAAGGGTCATCTTGTGCTCTGAATCGTATCTGTGGGGTCTGCAGGTACAATTGTGTGTGTGTGCCACAGAGACTGTGCTGCTCCCTGAGCAGGCAGAGCTCTGACTTCAGCAGCACCAAAGCTGAGAGATCTTTCTGGAAGCTTTTGTGGAGATGGTGGGAGTGTGATGAGCTGTGATTGTTGTGGAGTCAGAGCCTGAACCGAAGGAATCCTGTGACCCCAGTGACTCAGTTGGGTGGCTCTGTTCCAAACTTTTGCATTTGTGTGACGACCAAAGAGTCTTCATTTGTGCTCTTCCTGTTTCCAGGACTTCCTGATCATGTTTGTCCATCACTTGGCCACGATTGGACTCATCACATTCTCGTACATGAATAACATGGTGCGGGTTGGAACTCTGGTGCTGTGCCTCCACGATGCTTCAGATTTCCTCTTGGAGGTGAATTTCCTTTCAATCTTTGCATCCCTAATGCTGGTGTGATCTCAGGGGAGCAAGCTGACGTTCCCCTTCTTGATAAACTGCTTTAAATGTGCCATGAAATGTGTGCTGCTGCTCCTGCCTTGTCAGCTTTTCCTCCAAACTGCTTGGGTGCTGAGAGTAACAAAACCATGGAATGGTTTGGGTTGGAAGGAACCTTAAAGATCATCCAGTTCCACTAGCCCAGGTTGCTCCAAGTCCCATCCAGCCTGGCCTTGGACGTTTGCATGGATGGGGCAGCCACAGCTTCTCTGGGTAACCTGTGCCAGGGCCTCACCACCCTCTGACAGGGTGATTGTATCCTCTGACAGTTTGAAGCCATTCCCCCTTGTCCTGTCACTCCAAGCCCTTGTAAATAGTCTCTCTCATTGTTCTTGTAGGACCATATAAATAACAGTATAAAAAAAAAATAATGTAATAATCCCTCTTTGTTCCAAACTGTACAAATGTGATTGAGAGTGTTTTGCATCTCTCCAGCCTGGTAATTACAGGAGTGCACAAAGGGAATAATATTTGCATGTTTATTGTCTCTTGTAGGCTGCAAAACTGGCCAATTATGCCAAGTACCAACGTCTGTGTGATGCTTTCTTCATGCTCTTTGGGGTCGTGTTCATCGTGACCCGCCTGGGCATTTACCCTTTCTGGTAAGCACCTGGAGCTGGAAGGCCTTGGTTGTTCTCTCAGTCCTTTCAGCAGAGCCTTTGTTTTAACTTTTCCCAAGCATTCCAGCTGTCCCTTGAGGCAGCCTGAAGCAGCGCTGGCCCAAGTGCTGTTTGGGGCAGGAGGTTTGAGTAGGCACATGAAGAAATCTCTCCCCACTCAGCTGAGGGACTGGTGGAAGAGTCCAGAATCCCATTCACAGCTGCCCCTCCCCTGCTGCAGTGATGACAGACTCAGCCAGAATTGCTCTGAGAGGCTTGAAGGATTCTCTGCTTCTCTGAAGAAGTTCTAGAAATAATTACAAGTGAGGCACAGTCTCTTGAGGTCTTTTTTGTGTTTATTTGGCTTAGTCATCACTGCAGTTTCTGATTCTTAAGACACTTCTGTCCTGTCCTTGTGTCGTGACTGTTCAGAGCCTGAAATAGGTCTGAGGTTTCTTAGGAGGTAAAACCCTGGATAAATGGCTTAGAGAGAATCATCCCATAATGAGATTCCCTCTCACCTCAGTAGGTCAGACCTGGAGCAGTGCTTTGGTTAATGAGCTGTTGTCCGTTTATTGTGTGTGATGACAATTTGGTTAAACCATTTTACTGCCTGCATTTATTTCCTAGGCCATGGACACCTGGCATTCCCATTCTTTTTGGGTGCCTGGTAGGCAGCAACAATCCTTTCACTTTAGCATCAGGGTTGCAGTTAAAGCTCTTGCTTATTTTCCAGTAAATGCACCAAAGGACTCTGGATGAAGAAGAGCTTTAATTCCTATTTCTTCATAGGCTCCTTCCAGGGACAAAATAGAGAGTTGTTTTAGCAGCTGCTGTCTGTCGTGAGGGGATGCTCTTACCTCACACCAGTGCTCAGCATCCTGTAAATCTTTAATGTGTTTTTCCACTGGCTGTAATGTCACTCCTCAGCTTTGCAGAGGAATCTGGCAAGCTGCAGCAGCACTGCAGCCCCTGTGCTGTTTTACTGCACGTGTACTCCCTTCCCTAATTGGTAATGTAAAACATCAGCAGATCTCTGGAATCACATTTAATTCTTTCATAAACCTGCTATGAGTTAAATACTTCTGGAGCTGCCTTTTGGGGGATTTTGGTTCTTGTTTGAAAGGCTTATTTTGATTTTCTTGTGTTAAAAGCTGCGTGAAATTAATGTGGTTGTTAAAGATCTCTCCATACCTCTCTGCATCATAAAATCTGAAGTGTTTATTAAATTGCTGAAGGACTGGCAATAACTCCCAGCAACAAGAACAGCAAAACAGTAATGAAAGAAACACAAGGCTTGGGCCATAAAGCAGTTTTGAGTCTTTCAGCCTGGCTGGAGGAATCTATAAAACTGTGAGGGAAGAGAAGAGCACCCAGGGAGGGAGGGAGGGAGGCCCTCTAGGGACAAAATTCCTTCCTGATCCCAGAATCCTTGAGGTTGGACAAGCCCTCCAAGACCAGATTCCAGCCTGTGACCAATCCCCAAGGAGCAGTGAGTGCCACGTCCAGTTGTTCCTTGGGCACCTCCAGAGATGGGAACTCCAAACCTCCGTGGGCAGCACCTTCCAATGCCTCACCGCCCTTTCCATGAAGGAATTCCTGCTGATGTCCAACTTGAACCTTCCCTGGCACATCCCTCTTGTCCTGTTATTGCCTGGGAGCAGAGCCTGACACCCCCCAGCTGCCCCCTCCTGTCAGGGAGTTGTGCAGAGCCAGAAGGTCCCCCCTGAGCCTCCTTTTCCCCAGCTGTTCCAGCTGTGGACACTCTCCAGCCCCTCAATATCTCCTTGCTGTGAGGGCCCAGAACTGGACACAGCCTCACAGAGGGACAATCCCTGCCCAGCTCCTGTGCCCACCCTATTTTTGATACGATTTTTGATCTTTAAATCTGGGTGAAAGCTGCCCAAGCAGGAAGGTGTTAACGGTTGTTTTGGTGACCAGAGCAGCCTGACATCACTTCCTGTGAAGTTGTTATAAATAAATGCTTGTGCTTTGGAGAAGAAAATTGGCAGCAGATCCGTGTGTGTAACCAAATTGCAGCACATTCACATGTTCTGTTTTGTTGTTCAGTTCAAATGCTCCTAATGAGCTTTACTCAGTCTCCTGACTCTGGCAGGAGCAGAGCAGCAGATGCTCAGTGAGACACAAACTGTTGTGCATCTGGCCTGGCACCTCCAGTCAGAGCTGAGCACAGCTGATCTCAAACGTGTTTCTGGATCTCTTTCAGGATTTTGAACACAACCCTGTTTGAAAGCTGGGAGCTGATCGGTCCCTACCCTTCCTGGTGGCTGTTCAACGGGCTCCTGGTGACCTTGCAGGTCCTGCATGTCATCTGGTCTTACCTCATCATCCGCACGGCCTCCAAGGCCCTGGTGAGGGGCAAGGTAAGGCTGAGGGAGCCTTCTGGCTCCTCTTTCCTACAAGCCCTGTTAAAGAATCATGAGAAATTGGGCTTTTCAATGAGGGCTGGTGTTGGTTCTTAAGGGATTTGTGTCAAGAGTTCACAAAACCAGTGTTTTTTTACCTTGATTGCTCTGCACTTGTGAGTTCCCAGGTGTGTTCAAAGGCAGGGAGTCTCTCCTGGGCATGCAGGGGAATAACTCCATTTTCCAGTACATTCAAATGTCCTGAAATGGCAATTATGACACTCTTGTTGTGCACTCTGGAGTTTAAGGTGGTAGCAGGCTCTCTTTTGGACAACAGGATGAACACACAGGATGTTTCCCAACTTCAGCTGGTCCTTAGGATGTGCTGGGAATTGTGCTTCTTCACTGGTTCCTGTCTGCCAGTGCACTGAGCTCGTTAACGGTTGTTTTGGTGACCAGAGCAGCCTGACATCACTTCCTGTGAAGTTGTTATAAATAAATGCTTGTGCTTTGGAGAAGAAAATTGGCAGCAGATCCATGTGTGTAACCAAATTGCAGCACATTCACATGTTCTGTTTTGTTGCTCAGTTCAAATGCTCCTAATGAGCTTTACTCAGTCTCCTGACTCTGGCAGGAGCAGAGCAGCAGATGCTCAGTGAGACACAAACTGTTGTGCATCTGGCCTGGCACCTCCAGTCAGAGCTGAGCACAGCTGATCTCAAACGTGTTTCTGGATCTCTTTCAGGATTTTGAACACAACCCTGTTTGAAAGCTGGGAGCTGATCGGTCCCTACCCTTCCTGGTGGCTGTTCAACGGGCTCCTGGTGACCTTGCAGGTCCTGCATGTCATCTGGGCTTACCTCATCATCCGCACGGCCTCCAAGGCCCTGGTGAGGGGCAAGGTAAGGCTGAGGGAGCCTTCTGGCTCCTCTTTCCTACAAGCCCTGTTAAAGAATCATGAGAAATTGGGCTTTTCAATGAGGGCTGGTGTTGGTTCTTAAGGGATTTGTGTCAAGAGTTCACAAAACCAGTGGTTTTTTTACCTTGATTGCTCTGCACTTGTGAGTTCCCAGGTGTGTTCAAAGGCAGGGAGTCTCTCCTGGGCATGCAGGGGAATAACTCCATTTTCCAGTACATTCAAATGTCCTGAAATGGCAATTATGACACTCTTGTTGTGCACTCTGGAGTTTAAGGTGGTAGCAGGCTCTCTTTTGGACAACAGGATGAACACACAGGATGTTTCCCAACTTCAGCTGGTCCTTGGGATGTGCTGGGGATTGTGCTTCTTCACTGGCTCCTGTCTGCCAGTGCACTGAGCTGCAGCACTCAGGGAAAGGGTTCCCAGGGATGCAGTGGGGTTTGCTGGTTGTGAAAGATCACAGACTGGCCTGAGTTGGAAGGGACCTTAAAGATCATCCAGGTTGGACAGGGCTTGGAGCAACCTGTGATAGTGGAAGGTGTCCCTGCCCATGGCAGGGGGTGTAACAAGGTGGGCTTTAAGGTCCTTCCCACCCAATCCATTCCATGATTCTATGAAACCAGCAAAAAAGCTGATTTAGTAGCACAAATGCTTTTTCCTATCAGATATTGATATTCTGATCTGGGTTTCTCTGACGGCTCTGCATTATTTTGTGTTTGACTTTAGCTGCCCCTACACATGGAATGTGGCCTTGAAAAATATAAATATTCTGGTTGACTCTGGGGGCAAGCAGGTTTCAGGGTACGAGCTCTTCATCTGTTCCCCACAGCTGCTACTACAAATGCCTGATTTTCATTCTCTGCAGCTGTTTCTATATCCTGAGTTCTACACCTTTTCCCTTTCCTTGGTTCTCTCCTGTCCAGGTGACCTAGCCAGAGAAAGGACTCTAAGCTCTGTCTTCTTCATTCTTTTCTCCTTTTCTCTGTGCCAGATTGGAGCTGGACAGTTTCACCCTGTGCATGTAAGTGTGACCTGTGTTTCTGTTTGTTCACTGAAACACGTCTGTGTTGAGGCCCCAAGACAAAAGCAGAGCCCTGGTGCCTTCTCCTTCTCTCCCTGGTCCTGACAGAGTGCTAAAATACTGTTTTTTCCAAAGGTCAGAGCAGTGTCCTGGGGTCTGTTCTCACCTGCTGTCACCTGCCTGCACAACCTTCACTTTGTGCTTTTACACACCCACACACCAATTTCTGTCTTTGCTCCTCATCAGCACCACACTGAGGGGGAGAGGGCAGGAGGAATTTACTCCTTTTTGTGAAAAGGAGTGAAACAGTCACTTCTCCCCCAAGAACAGAAAAAATGTCCAGGGATTTCTGCTTCCTTCCAGTGACCCTTTGAACTTCCAATATAGCAGGAGATTGGGGAAAGATAGCAAAAATTCTGGCAACAGGCAGAAGCCAGGACATCCAAAAAGCTCCTGGAGATCATTAACTTTACCTGGCTTCCAGCCAGATCTTCCCTGGAGTTCAATCACTTCCTGCTGCTGCAGAGCCCTAACCCTGACTCCAGGAGAGCAGAGTGAAATCCTGGAATCCTTGGGAAGCTGCAGGCCAGAGTGCTGGCACACGGAGTTACTGGGGCTGCAGAGGGAGGGGAGTGAGGAGCTGCCTTGGGCAGAGCAGGGGCTGCTCTCCAAGCCCAGCTCGTGCTGGGGAGGTTTGGCCCTGGCACCTGCCAGCACCCAAGGTGTGTGTTTGCAGTTGGGGCTGGGGTTTATGGGCTCTTCCCCTCCCCTCCTGGCTCTGCAGGGCTGCCCTGCTGTGGCACTTGGAGCAGCTGGCACCACGCTCCTGCTGGGAAGGTTCAAAATCCCATGTGCAAGTCAAAGGGAGCTGGATTTGCAGCAGGCTCTGACTAAGGCATGCTCTGTAAGCAGATCTGGATCCCTGGGCTGAGGCTGTTCCTGTCCTGAGTGGCTGTTTGCTGGATCAGACCCTGCCTTTGTTCTCCATCCCCTGTCCAAGCAGGCTCCTGCTCCTAAATAGGATCTCCCAGATGAAGCACAGGCTGTGGAAACGGAGGTGCTTTGTTGGAACAGTGATGTGATAAATAAAGCTGGCTAATTTTTAAAATAGCAAAGCTGCTCCCTGTAGGACAAAATGTTCTCTCTCAAACTGACACGTTGCTGGACCCACTTGTGATTGTGGCATGAGAAATTTTTGATTCAAAACAAATGCTTTAGAAAAATGGCCTTTAACTGATCTAGAGAGGAGCCCTTGGAAGACAAGAACAGCGCCAGGTCTGTAATATCATCTGATCTGGTGAGGACAAGGGTGAAGTGTTTCACAGATACACAGGATATTTGGAAAATGGAGCTCATCTTTCCAAATTGTCTTTTTCAGTGTCTGTGTCTTGTTCCTAATGTGATGACAGGCTCCTTCTTGGGAGCTTGAACTGAGCCAGGCTCAATGCAGGAGGCAGATGTGAGTGAAGGTGGTTCATCACAGGGACACAACCTTCTAACTGCTGGTTTCTGTCAATTTTTCAACTCCCCTTTTCCTCTCCCACTCCCCAATTCCATTGGCAATGTTTAGGTATCCAAGGATGACCGCAGTGACGTGGAGAGCAGCTCTGAGGAGGAGGATGTGACTTCCAACAGCACAAAAGGAATTTTCAGCACTTCCAGTAACGGTTCCAACCGCCTGAACGGCCACGTGGCCGGGGGCCAGTGGACAGGAGAGGAGTAAGGCCCTGGGCTGGCCTTGAGCAAACACGAACTTCTCTTTCAATATCTAGTTGTGTTGAGCTCCACATTCCCAAGTGATCTTTAATCAAAAACCCCTTCCCCAGAAACCTCCAGCAGACCCGAAACGGGCACAACCCTGACCAGTCAGAGGCTTTGCATGGCACAAGGGATGAAGCCAACGACCGGGGCAAAAACAAAGCTGCAGATTTCACTTCAAGCCATTTTGTACTTCAGAAGTACAAGAAAACACCCCTGAGTCCTGTTGATATTTGCAGAGGTGTCTTTGTTTGTGACAATCTGGCTTTTACTGGGATCAGCTCGAGGCAGAGCAGGTTTGGACTGCAGGGTTCGGTGCCACTCGGCGACGGTTCACTCCTGGCAGGTGCAGCAGCTCTTGATGCACTCCAGAAGCCACTTCAGAGCACAGAGAACGCAGGTTCCGTGTCCCAGCTGCCCTGGGTGAGGCAGAGACTCTGCTCCCAGCTGAGCTTTGACCTGTGCTAACCCAGAACCACTGCTCTGCCTCGCCCCAGGGTGCTGGGGAGGTCCCAGCTGCTCATCTCTGCTGTCACCAGGGACCAGGCCAGCGTCTGCTGCCTCTTTTGGTGCTGCAAACCCCTCTGAAGTCTTGACCAAAGCCTTCTGCAAGGGGGTGGGGGGGTGGTTTATTGCCCCTGAGACAACCAGCATAATCCAGGCGTTTTAAATTGTTTTCTTCCTGTTGCAAATTGTGGGTTTGAAGACTTCTCTAGACCTACTGGATTCAGTTGGCTAAGCTGGGATTGGAGGGAGGATCAGAACTGGTGGGCTGGGTTTAACTCTCCAAAAAATGAGATGTTTTGGTCCTGTACTCTGAGACAAGTGATTGTTGCTGCTCTGATGTTAGAGCTGTGGAGGAACCCAGGGCTGGAAGAGCAGCCACACTGTGGGCTTTGCTTCTCTTTTTTTACTCAATGGTACTTGGGGGCAATGGAACGGTCAATCAGGAGCAGAATTTTGGAAACTTCTCAAGTTGTTACCATTTTATACTGTTGTTTACTCTTATCTCCAATTAAAAGTTGCTTCAGAAACCTGGGGTGATGTGTTTCATCTTGAGGAAATAGAACAGAGGACAGTGTGTGTCCTTTGGCTGTCTCTGAGCACCTGGGCTGCTTCCAGGACAGGAGAAACAGCTTTTTGGAATAACAGAAGTCATGGACTCGTGGAAGGCATCCCTGCCCATGGAAGGGGGTTGGAACAGAGTGACTTTTAACCCCAGACCATTTTAAGATTTGGGAGACACCACACACCACCACACCAGCCACTTTGACACGGGTTTTATTGCACTCCATCTGCCTCCTCCAGCCCAGGGGGGACCAGGAAGGTGGGGCTGGTCCAGCCCGGTCCCAGCTCCAGGGGCCGGTCCCAGGGCCAGGGGCTGGTCCCAGGGCCAGTCCCAGCTCCCAGGGCCAGTCCCAGCTCCAGGGGCCAGTCCCAGGGCCGGTCCCAGCTCCCAGAGTCAGTCCCAGCTCCTGGGGCTGGTCCCAGGGCTGGTCCCAGCTCCCGGGGCCGGTCCCAGGGCCAGTCCCAGCTCCCGGGGCCGGTCCCAGCTCCCAGGGCCGGTCCCAGCTCCCGGGGCCGGTCCCAGGGCCAGTCCCAGCTCCCGGGGCCGGTCCCAGCACGGGCTCAGCTCTCAGGCCCCGGCGCGTTCTCCCGCTGGCGGCGGTGCTGGAGCATCCTCTGCACACGGACACTGCACAGGTAGCCGGCGTACACCGTCAGCAGCATCATGGAGCCCGAGAAGGCCTTGTAGCCAAAGTCTGCCAGCTGCTTTTTGGACACCATGGCTGCACCTGCCAGACAGACACAGAATCCCAGCATAGTCAGGGGTGGAAGGGACCTCTGGAGGTATCCAGTCCAACCCCTGTGTCCAGGCAGGGTCACCCAGAGCAGGTGACACTGGAGGATGTCCAGGTGTCTCCAGAAAGGAAGACTCCTGTGACTCCATGGGCAGCTGTTCCAGTGCTCTGCACCCCTCCATGGAAAGTTCTGCCTCATGTTGAGTGAAACTCCTTGTGGTTTAGTTTATGGCTGTTGCTCCTCATCCTGTTTCTGGGCATCACCAAAAGCAGTCTGCCATCACCCTCTGACCCCTTGGAGATATTTATATTTATTAATAAGATCCCATCTCAGTCTTCTCTCCAGACTAACCAGGCCCAGCTCCCACAGTCTCAGAGAGATGCTCCAGATCCCTCAACATCCTTGTGGCGTGCACTGGACCATCTCCAGATGGTCCACTGGACCATCTCCTTGTCTGTGCTGACGTGAGGAGCCCAGACCTGGACAGGTCACTGTGGCCAAGGGACAGAATCCCCTCCTGACCTGCTGGCACGCTCTTTCCCGTGCATTCCAGGATCCCAGTGGTACGTGGGGCTATTCCTCTGCAGGTGCAGGATCCTACATTTGCTCTTGTTGAGCTTCGTTAGGTTATTCTCATAAATCATTAGGTTTCTCTTTGCCCAGTTCCCCAGCCGATGGGGCCCTGCTGGACGGCAGCACAGCCTTCGGGTGGATCAGCCAGTGCCTGCATTTCGTGTCATCACCAGACCCGCTCAGGACGCTTCCATCCTTTCATGCAGGTCGGTCACGGACACGGCGAACGAGACCGGACCCAGCAGCGGTCCCTGGTGAACTCACTGCCCACCGGCCCGCAAGAAGGCGGCGGGGAGCGGGGCCGGCAGCGCGGATTCGCGCGTCCCGTCCATCGTCCCATCCCATGCCGTCCCTATCCCCTCCCCACTCCCATCCCGTCCCGTCCCATCCCATCCCATCCCATCCCATCCCGGTCCGCTCCGCTCCGCTCCGGTCTCTCCGGACTCACCGCTCCCGTCCCGCTCCGCTCCGCGTCACGTGGCGCTGGGCAGTCACGTGCCTCCCGTCGTCACGTGTGTGCCGCGGTCACGTGTGGCCGCCGGCGAGCGCGGGAAGCCCGCGCGGTGCCCGCAGCGCCCCCTGGCGGCTCCCGGCCGCGGTCTCCCCTCAGGGCCGCTGCCGCGGCCCGCACGGGCCTCCCTGCACGACGGAGCCCGCGGGTCTCCCTCTCTGAGGTGCGGCGCCGGCAGCCCACAAAGGGCAGATGGATAGGGCCCAGGCTCTCCGGGCCGTGCTGCAGCCCTGAGGCTCGGCGGCGCGGTGCCATCCCGGCGGTCACGGTGGATTCACGGCTCTGGTGCCGTCCTGAGGGCCCCAGTGCCCCCCCTCCCCCGAGGGTCCCAGTAGTTTATTGAGGGTCCCAGTGGCATTCCAAGTGCCCCAGTGCCATTCCCAGGGCCCTGGTGCCTGCCCAGGGTCCCCTGTGCCCCCAGCCCAGTCTCCTTCCCAACAGGCCACGTTCCCCAGGTCCCCTCCTGTCCCCCCTGTGGCAGCTGCTCCCCTCCCGGAGCTCCTTTCCAGCCTTTGAACTCTGCTGTCCCTGCCCTGCTCTGCCCGGGGCTCCCTCGAGCTCCAAAGCTGCCAGGGTCACTCTTTTTTCCCCTTCTTCATCCTCCTTTCCCCCAGCAGCAGCTCCCAGGGCACTGGGATGTGCTGAGCCTGCAGAACATAATTCCAAATGGCAAAGGGAAGACTTTTTATAGCTCGGGACATCCAGCTCCAGTGTGGTGTGTTTAAAAGAGAGAGATTGTTGGAAACCTGGGACCCTCAGCAAGGGTCTGCAGCGATTCGGGCACTTCCAGGGTCAAAGAAACATGGACAAGGGGGATGCACAAAGCATTTCCATCCCAGCTAAACACAAATCCCTGCTGGATTCTGCTGCAGCTCCAGGCAGGTGCTGACAGGAGCTTGTGTGAGGGAGCAGAGCCCAGGGACCCTCTCTCCTGCATGAGCTTCGTATCCAAACACTTGGATTCCTTGAAGCCCTTGAAGACAAAGAGAACTAGAAGTCGTGCCAGCCCTGCAGGAACACGCTGGACTTCCTTTATCCTTCCTCCAAGCTCAATAAAGCTCCTCGGCAGAGGAAGCCGTGTTGGCTCCCCCCACACGACAGTTCTGCTGAATTTAAAGGTCGCGGAGTGCCTGCTGAGAAAACGTGGCTAATAAAAGGCACAGAAACAAGTGCAGTGCCAACAGATTAAATTCCCCTTGTAAGACACCGAGCAGAGGGTTCAGAGCCCTGGAAAGGTCACTCAGTACGGGGCTCCTTTAAAGACACACAGGGACAAAGTGAGTCTGGGAAAAGCAGCTGGGAAGAGATGAATAAAATCCCACAGCGTGTCCTGGGAAGCCCCAAACGTCAGAGGAGGGGAGGCCTGGGGTGTGTGGGGCACAGTGTGGTCCTGGCCTGGCTCCTGCTGGCCCCAGGTGAGGACTCTGGACCCGGCTCAATGCTGCAATCCCAACCCGCCATAGTCCTACGGCCAAATTTTAATCCTGGAACCGTTGCTGAGACAAAGCAAGTGGGACACTGTGTGACACTGGGGTTGAACAGGGACCTACAGGGACGTTCTTGCTGTTTCTGGGACAGCACGGGAGGGTGCAGGGCCAGGAGGGAACGGGCAGTGCCCTGTTCTGAGCACTCAGCAAGTCCAGCAGGCACCAACCCAGCGACAGTGATGCACTGGAGCCACAGAACGAGGAGAGCATCTCCTGCCTCCTCTCCATGTTTATTGTTATTTTAAAGGAACACTGCTAGTCAGAGAGCCCTTGGCTCTGGGACTTGAATGGGGGAGCATCCCAAGCCTTGCAGCATTCCAGCCTTCCAGCCCAGGTAGGATCAGTGACCAGTGGACACTCTGGCCTGAGCAAACACTACCAGCTTCAGAGGAGCAGAGGGACATGTGGCAGCTGTCTGGACAAGGGGCAAATTTCACAGGCTCAGTGTGAGGCCCAAGACCTCTGTCCTGTCCTGGGATGTTGGACATGTCCATGTACCTGTTGTGGATCATATGCCTATTCCTGCCCCTGTGCCAGAGGGCAGCTTGCAGCATCCCCACATGAGGAAAGTGTGAGACCTCCTTCCTCAGCTCCTGGACAGCCACACATGGAAGCACAGAGCAGTCTAAAGCACAAGCTGAAGCAAGCCAGAGGAAGGCAAAGTGTGGCTGTGGAGGAATTACTGAACATCAACGTGACTCAGGTGCCTTGAGCTGACCCACCTGCCTGATGTGAGGGTATAAGGCAGGGGTCACACCAGCTGCTCACACAGACTCAGGGGCAGTTGGTCCCTGGCAGTGCCAAGCCCCAGAGGTCAAACTGAGACAAGGGAGATAAGTCAGCGGGCATGGAATTAGCACATTTTGTCACAAACCTGTGACAACAGGGGAGCTCCCCAGGGCTGGGGCCAAGTCTGATGGAGAGAGCAAAAGCTCTAAATAAACAAGCTCCAGAGTGTCCCTGGGTGAGCAGGAGCAGCTGGGGGAAAGCAGCACATGGCCGGGTGGCAAGGAATGCCATTGTCTGTGCTGTGCTGGTGCTGCTTACAAGATCCTCGGTGCCTTTGGAAGTCCTGAGAGCTCCACTCACCAGGTGGAGCCTGGCAGGGGACTGTGCCCTCTCCACCAGACAGGGAATGCAAAAGCAGCAGCAGGTAGGGAAGAGCTGGTGTCACTCAGAGTGGCCCATGGGGCTAAGAGGGAGGACTTGGGACACTGTTTTCCCTGCCAGGCAGTGCCCAGCCCTTATCTATCATGATGGCCTGGCAGAGTCCTTCCCAGAGCTGAATCCACTGTGAGGAAGTGGAAGGAGGAAGATGCTCAGCCCTGCTCAGGACAAACCTTAGCAGCAGCAATTAAACGAGCTCTTCAAAGAGAGGAAGAGGTCAGCAGGTACCTCTGTGCCAGGCTCAGTGTCCAGGGCAGTGTCTGGGGCTGGGGAAGGGAACCTCTGCTCTTCCAGCAGTCAGCAAAGGCTCCCAGGAGACCCAGACTCTTCCTGAGGCTGTGGCAGCAGATCAGGTCAGTGTGGGCAGGAGGTCTCAGCACATCTCAGCGGGACCTGTGCTCTGCAGGCAGAGCCCCTTACATGTGCTCAGGGTGGTTCTGGAGACACGAAATGAAGTCAGTGACAGGTTTGCCCTCGTAGCAGACCCGAAACACAGCAGTGAAGAGGGGGAACCTGTGGGCAGACAAAGAAAGTCACCACAGATGGCCGAGTCAGAGCACCTCGACTTCTGTCACGGCATAGAGGAGCAGGTGGGCCAATGGCACTGTGCCCCATCCAACAGGCCACTCCTGCCCAGCTGCTGGGGGCTTTCCCCTCCTGCTGCTCCTGAAAAGCCCCACGCCAACGAAGCACAGAGATTCCAGCACTCACTTCTCCACTGCATTCTTGCTCTTGAGGATTCGATGCAGCTCAGCAGATGTCTGGGGACCCTGCAGCTTCTGCCCATTCAGCATCTCCTTCTCCAGCTGCTCAATGGACTGAAAAAACACAGCAGTAAGGAGCTGGACCTGCAGCTCTGCTGCTGCACCACGTTCCTGCCCTGGAGCTGGGCTGCAGCACTAGCCAAGCACAGACAGATCCCACAGTGCTAAGGGGGATCACCTCCCTGCCTTCTCACCAGGTTGATGCAGGAATCATAGAATCACAGAATATCCTGAGTTGGAAGGGACTCACAAGGACCATCCAGTTGAACTCCTGGCCCCCCACAGACACCCCAACAATCCCACCCTGTGCCTGACAGCATTATCCAAACACCCCTTGAGCTCTGGCAACCTTGGGGAACCTGTTCAGTGCCCGACCACCTTCTGGGTGAAGAACCTTTCCCAGCTATCCCACCCAAACCTCCCCTGACCCAGCTTTATCCACACACGTCTCAGTGTCGGCCGCTTCCAGCTCTGCTCACCTTGCCAGTCTTGGCAAAAGCCTCGGCGACCTTGCGGTTGCGGCCCCCATAGCAGGTGGTGATGAGGTCAGCCACGCCACAGCTCTCCAGGAAGGTGGAGGAGGTGACAGGGCCCTTGCAGAAGAGTTTGGCAAAGCCAATCATCTCCATCAGGCCCAGGCGGATCACGGCAGCCTTTGTGTTGTCGCCGTAGCCAAGCCCATCACAGAAACCAGCTCCTACAGCCACCACGTTCTGGAAAACAGTGGCAATGTGGAGGGGTCTCTTCCCAACAGAGCTTGGGGCTTGGCTGCATCTGTGAGCAGCCTGTGTGATCCCAAGCACTGGCTGCTGTCTGTGGCAGTGCCCACCAGCCCTCCTCCCCTGAGCTCCCTGCAGAGCCCCGGGCTCTGCTCACCTTGAGAGCCCCACAGATTTCTACAGTGTCAGCTTCCTGCACCACCGACACACGGAAGTTGGGGGTCTGCATCAGGTCCTTCAGCATCTGCCCGTGCTTCATGTTCTTGCAGCCTGAGGAGACAAAGGGACGAGGAAGAAGATGATGGGGAAACCCATGAGGTAGGTCCATGCTCTCCTGAAGGCCATCCAGTGAGAGGAACCTATTGCCCAACCAATGTTGCAAAACAGTTGCAGGTCCACACAGAGTCAGGCACACACTGCCTGACAGATAAGCAATGTTCAACTTTGACATTCCCAGAAGACAGGGGACAATCCATGCTCTGTGTCACGCAATTGAGAAATGACTTTCTGAATGCTCAATAGGTTAAAGACATCTTCAAAGGTTGCAAATTTGGGGTTGCAGCTTTCTGTTGTGGTTGTCCCTGCAGGGTCCTGTGTGCTCACAGGGGTTGTGGGCTCTGCTCCACCTCCCCAGCCTCCTGCCCAGTGTGTTTGCTGTTGTTTCATAAAACACACACTTTGAATGCCACAACTTCTGACCCAGCAAATGGTTCTGTTTGTTTTGGCTCTGTGCACAGTCCCCAACAGTGTGGAGGGTGTTGGAACTGTCACTACATGAACTTCCAAGCAGTCCTGGCTGGCAATAACATGAGATCCAGGTGGGCATCCTGTGATGCCCAAGGAAATCAAGGATGAAAATTATTCCTAAGGGGCCTCTTGTTGCCCACCCCTTTAATTTGTGCCAGGCAGCTGCCTGATGCTGGCTCCATCCTGGCAGGAACCTTTAGCT